GAAGCACGCCCAGCCTTCTGACTGGTCTAAAGGGACAGTGACCTCAGCCTTAATTATGATAGATATTAATACCCACAGGAGGGCATTCTAAGGGAAGAAAGTGGTGGCAGGCTCGCAGCTCAGAGAGGTTGTGTGGGTTTCAAAGAAGCCTTTGTAGAGAGGTTAGTTTAGAGACGCAGGCAGAAGGGGGCTGTCCTCTAGAAGAGGTAGCAGAGGAGTGAGACCACCAAGAGCCTGGGTTCCGAGCAGGGCTCTGTCCCCAGCAAGAAGCCGGAGAGCATCAGAGCACCAGGGAGGAAGCTCTATTGACAGGACAAGCCACACAGGGAGGTCTGGGAATGAGAGCCCGGATGCCAAGCACTTAGCTTCAAGCATGACGCAGGGGGGCTCATGCGGCTGGTGGGAGTGCTCTAATCATTATTAGACTTCAGCTTAGTGGGCTTCAATTGGCTGGAGAAACAGTGCAGGCAGGGTTGGCTGGTAGGTAGGACAGCCAAGAGCTGATGATCTTTCAGGAACAGAAGGAAGTTTTACCAAGAACATCCCAGTGCCACTGACTTGCCAAGAAGAGTGAATGATTTCTGTCCACAGGTCAGGGGTGACTCACAATACAACTGTGGCACCAGCAAAGTAGAAGAGAAATATACAAATTGGTCTGGATGGTAAAGGCTGAGGTCTCAGTTAGTTACAGCGTTTCAAAAGCACAGACGCCGAGGGCTGTAAGGAAGAGGGAACCAGCCCAAGATCCCGGCAGCCACTGCAGGTCTGTGGAGTTTTAACAGCCACAAGTTCATCGAAAGTCCACAAGCATCCCTAAAGGCCCCTGCCACCCATCTGAAAGGGCTGAGAAAGAGCCTGTGGTCCCACTCTGTGATGCTGACACATTCAGCCTGATTTAGTCCTGAAATTACACACTTGTAAAAGCTGGGTGATTTTTCTCTCCCCGTGTCAAATATGACTATAAAATAATATGCTTGTTGAGACAATTCACAGAAGAATGACTGAGAAACACTTGGAAAATGTCCAACTTCTCAACAATCAAAGAAAGGTCAAATGAAACAACACAGAGAAATCATTTTTCCCTATGAAGTGAACCAAGAGAAACATGATAAAATCAATTCCAGCAAGGATTTGATGAAACAGGCACAATGACACTGAACATGGGAATGACTTACTCGGGAAACAGCAAGGACCTTAAAAATGTCCCAGCCTTTGCCCCCTAAATCTAACCGAGATCTAGCTTAAAGAAATAATAGAAGGTACAGAACACTTTTCTTCCAATGGTGTTTACTGCAATGCTATTTATAATATTAAAAAATGAAAAGCAAACTTAAAATCAAAATAGAGGAATAATTAAGTAAATGATTGTATTTCCACAAGAATCATCCATTCATTCATTCAAAAACACATGTATTAACCGCCTCCCACCTGAAACGCCTCTGTTCCATGCTGGAACTGTAAGGTAGCGGGACACTGCCCCTGCCCTCCAGGAACTCCCAGTCTACTGCAGACTGGAAGCAGACGTATCTACAAATAAAAAGGGCAGGACATTACAGATCAGAAGATGGAGTCTGCACAAAAGAGGGAGTGGTCAATTCCACCTGGGAAGGGAGTTGGGGGGGGAAGTCAATCAGGAGGGACTTCCAGGAGGAGGTTGTCCTGGACCTTATTCTTGGAGAATCAGACTCATCTGAGTAGTCTGAGCCTGGAAGTGGGCAGGAACAGCATTGCAGGCAGAGGCCATGTTGAGCACAAAGACCCAGGAATCTGAGACATCCTCAGGCGTCCAGCAGCCTTCAAGCGAGCATGCAGTGTAGCTCGAGGGAAAAGTGGGAGAGTCATGGCAAGAAACAAGTCAGGCTTGGGGCCAGATTGAGGAGAGTGTGACATGCCATCCTAAGAATTCTGGGCTTGTCCCTGCAGGCAGCAGAGAGCCACTGACAAATTTTCAGTGTGGAAGAACGTGATTGGATTGGCCTTTTTGAAAGGTGCCTGTGAAGGCTGAGATTAGGACGAGTTAGAGCGAACACGACTCCCAGCAGAAAGCCCATTTGAGAGCACTTGGTGACAGGTTGGGTGGGAAGAGAGGGCGCAGCCCCAGATCGTCCCAGTTTCTCGAAAGGTGGGTGGGTGGTCTCATTTGAACAAGATGAAGACCATGGTGAAGGAAGCCGAGTGGGAGGGTGAGATCAGCTGAGTTTGAGGACCATGTGGGACCATCAGGGGGAGATGGCCAGTTCTCAGCTGGACGTAATCCTTGAAAACAGTGACTGCAGAGAGACTTTCTCATCGGAAGAAATTTTTTCAAAGGAAACAGGTACATGAAAAGATGTTCAAAGTGCCTAATCATCAGGGAAGTAAAAACACATCAAAACCACAATTAGATACCACCTGCACCTGTTGGCATGACTATCATCAAGAAGACAAGAAATAACAAGTGTTGGGTAGGATGTGGGACAAAAGGAAACGTTTGTGCCCTGCTGCTGGGAATGTAAATTGGTACAGCTATTATGACAAACAGTATGGAATTTCTTCAAAAAATTAAAAATAGAAATACCGTATGATCTGGCAATTCCACGTCTGGGTATATATCTCCAAAGGAAATGAAAACACCAACACTAACTGGAAATGAAAACAGTAACCCCCATGTTCATTATAGCATTATCCACAACAGCCAAGACGGGAAAACAACCTAAGTGATCCTCAATGGATGACCAGAAAAATAGAATGTAACACACACACACACACACACACACACACACGCGGGTATCATTCAGCCATAAAAAAAGAGAAGGAATTGTCATTTTCAATAACATGGATTGACCTTGAGGGCATTATGCAAAATGAAATAAGATAAAGATAAATACTGTATTTTCTCACTTTTATGAGATGGTAAAAAAAAGCTGAACTCATAGAAACAGAGTAGAATGGTTCTTGCCAGGGGCTGAGGGCTGAGGGAACTGAGGAGATGATGGTTAAAGGGCATAAACTCCCAGGTATAAGATGACCAAGTTCTGGGGATCTAATGCATCCCATGGTGACTATAGTTAACGATACTGTATTATATACTTGAAAGTAAAGAGAGTCGATCTTAAATGTTACTACCACAAAAAGAATGGTAATTGTGTGACAGGATGTGTTAACTAACTTATTGCGGTAATCAATTTGCAATATATATATGTATCAAATCATCACATTGTATACCTTAAACATGTCAATAATTTTGAAGCTGAGAAAATAAAACAAAATAAAATGAAATAACAGGCACCCGAAAAAAGAAAGAAGAAAAATTGTCTAAAATAATCCTTGTAATACAAATGTTAGATTCCCATAAACTCCTATGATGGTAGAATTTGCAGTTTGAAAAAAAATAGTATAATATGAGCAAAAGAGGCTTAAAAGGACTAATTTTACCACTAAGCCCATGGAGCCTTTATAAATATTTAATGTTCACTGATATCAGGCAATAAAATCATTGATGATGTTTCACACTGGGTCTCGGCAATAGCAGGTAAGACGGAATCAGTTTACATTCACCATCTCCATCATGAAAGTGCTACTCTGTGATTTCAATAAAATATTTATATATTTATTTGGTTTTGCTGCAAAGACTATGCCAGCTTTATCTTCTATATTTGGTTCTGCCTCTGAATGTTTCACGATTTTGTTTCCTAGTTGATCCCGTGACCCAGGACCCCAGGGCCCAGTGACACAGCTCCCCTGTGAATTTGTCGGCACCAAACAAAACACCCATGAGCAGGAGGTGCTGTGACTTACTCCCCTGGAGCCATGAATGCCAGACATGCCTTCTAGAGCTAAAAGCAGCGCGCGCGCGCACACACACACACACGACCCTGTTGGAGTGTAGCAAAACCTGCCAGACAGCCAGCTGCTCAACTGAGGACACCGAGGCTCAGAGAGGGCAAGGAGCTATCCAAAGTCACACAGCAAGTAAGTGGCACTGCTCTGACTCTACTGGACTGGACTCCAGGGTCCACATTTCAAGCCCAGGGTTCCCAAAGGTTCATGTGCATCCAGATCACCTGGGTTCTTTTTCAAATGCAGATTCTGATTCAGGAGCCTGAAACTCTGCACCCCTAGCAAGATCCCAGGCGATGCGTATGCAGAGACCACTCTGAATACAGACGAGCGAGACCACTATGTTATATTGTTCCCTTTTGTAACTGAAGAAGAAACAACGGCGAGAGATCAACAGCACACGTGATATATCCCAGCACTCAAAGCCAGACCTCACTAGACTGAGAAGATAGTGTCTACTCACCAGGTGTAACTCCGGGAGAGCTCATCTGAGCGTTAAACCCATGCTGGGCGCAGCAGAGTCCCAGTAAATATTTACAGGTCTTGGCTGAATCGGTGACAAATGTGTGCTTTTTCCCAGTGATGCTGCTTGTGATGATGAACTTCTTTCGCTGAAGGAAGCAAACACAGACTTTAATGTTTCGATCATCCTTACCCATCCACGGAAGCACAACTATCCAGAAAATAACCAAATGCGGAGCCGTCAGTTGGATACGAATGGACTGGGCATCTAGAGGTAGGTGGCAGATGTCTGACTACGGCCCGATATTTTTTCTTAGACCAAAGACAACCCCTTTTTTTTTTAATTTTTCCCTTCATTCATAAATCAAATGTTTGTTTATTAGGCATTTGCTATCTGCCAAGGAGTGTGCTAGCTGGAAAGAATGTGAAATGTGTTCACTACATGCTTGGCCCTCAGCAAGGAGTGAATATAATCCTCAATGTGCATTTTGGGGTTTTTGCATCTTTTTTTTTTTTTGAAGTATAGTCAGTTACAGTGTGCGAATTTCTGGTGTACAGCATAATGTTTCAGTCACACATATACATATATATAGTCGTTTTCATACTCTTCTTCATTAAAGGTTACTATGAGATATTGAATAAAGTTCCCTGTGCTACATGGAAGAAATTTGTTTTTATCTATTTTTATATATAGTGGTTCATATTTGCAAATCTTGAGCTCTCAGTTTATCCCTTCCCACCCCCCTCTCCCTCAGTAACCATAAGACCATTTACTATGTCTGTGAGTCTGTTTCTGTTTTGTAGATGAGTTCATTAGTGGCTTCTTTTTTATTTTTTCAGATTCCACATATGAATGATATCCTATGGTTTTTTTCTTTCTCTTTCTGGCTTACTTCACTTAGAATAACAATCTCCACTTCCATCCATGTTGCTGCAAATGGCATTATATCATTCTTTTTACTGCTGAGTAGTATTCCATTGTAAATTTTTTTTTCCCACAGCTTCTTTATCCAGTCATCTGTCGATGGACATTTAGGCTGTTTCCATGTCTTGGCTATTGTGTATAGTGCTGCTGTGAGTATTGAGGTGCATGTATCTTTTCAAATTAGAGTTCCCTCTGGATATATGCCCAGGAGTGGGATTGCTGGATCATATGGCAAGTCTGTTTTTAGTTTTTTGAGGAATCTCCATACTGTTTTTCATAGTGGCTGCACCAAATTATATTCCCAACCAACAGCGTAGGAGGGTTGCCTTTTCTCCACACCCTCTCCAGCATTTATCATTTGCGGATGATGGTTTTTAAAGATGGTCATTCTGACTGGTGTGAGGTAATACCTCATTGTAGTTTTAATTTGCATTTCTCTGATAACTAGTGATCTCAGTTTGAAAGGCCAGTAAATATACCTGTAATTTTCATTGTACAAAATCCCAGAAGTTGAAGGTACAATCTCAGCTAGCAGGGTTACAGAAAAGAGAAAAACACATATGTATTTTCATGTTTCATGGTATTATGTGCCAGGCTCTGTTCTGAGTGTTTTCTGGGTATTGATTCATTTCATCCTCAAAGCTACGGAACAAAGGAGACACCATCATTATGCTCTTTCTACAGATGAGGGACCAGACCAAGACTTCTCAGAATGCAGCAGGAATTGAGGTCACATCACATCATAAATGTGCTTCCCCACATTTATACCGTCAAAGCCCACACATATCTATTAAAAAAAATGATCCACACACAAACTGATATTTGCACATCTCACTGGGATACACTGGAGAGGATTATCTATATGGGGTTAGATTATCTGTAGGGAAAAAAATTCTTGGAACAAAATCTGTAACTTTTACCAATATATAATTCTAAATAAGAACAATAAAATACAAAGTAGGAGAGATTATATTATATATAAATTTATATATAACTTCCAAATAAAATCTCTATTCTACATATTTCAGTAAGAACCTTGAGTTTGCTCCTACAAGGTCAACTATAAATGCAGGGTTTATGCTTGAAAGGGCTCCCTGAATCCCATGATCCTTTTTAATACTTATCCCTTTTAATTCATGAGAGTCAGCAGTCCCAAGAAACTCCATTCACACAGTCAGATATTAACAAAAGGCAGATAACTATTCATTGCTTTTCCTTCAAGAAACTCCTTTTTATCATTAACCTAATTTCAAATAATTTGAGCATTCTCTAAATATTCTTTTCTTTTATTAACAGTGTTGACCCTCCTTATATGAATGTGAATGGATTTTGAATCCAATTGAATTCTACTACATGTAATATTTTTTCATATAATGTGTTTTCTCAAACATTCATAGATGTTGTCCTACTGGCTTTAATAATTCTTCCTTAGTATTCAAATTATAATAATGCCTAAACTCCACTAGCTGATCACTTTATGCACAGTGTTCCAAAGCGGAATATTTGCTTAGAATCCAACCACTTTGTCAGTATGCACTGATATGTTTTCGTATAGTCTTGACAATTTTATATCAAGTTCATTCGGGTATTAAAAATTTTTAGATAAGTCATTTTAAAAAAATTGAATAACTCTTACAGACATAAAAAACAAACTTATGGTTACCAATGGGGAAGGGGAGGGTGGAGAGGGATAAATTGAGAGTTCAGGATTTGTAGACAGTAACTGTGAATATAAAATAAACAACAGGGTCCTGCTGTATAGCACAGGGAACAATATTCAATACCTTGTAATGGCCTACAATGAGAAAGAATATAAAAAGGTATATATGTGTATATATATATATATATGTGTGTGTGTGTGTGTGTGTCATTAGGCTGTACACCAGAAATTAACACAATATTATAAATCAACTATACTTCAATTACAAAAATAAAACTAAATTAAATTAATGTCATCTTTTCCTAAGCTTTGAATTATTAAACAATTTATTGAGTGCCAAAAAATCAAATAACTCTTCTTTAACAAATCTGAAAAGAGGATCATTCACAAACACACATACACATGCCAATCTTTCTTTCAGCTCATAAACTCTTGGCAAACTCTTGTCCTTTTGGATATCAGCGCTCTAAGGTATTAGACACTGCAGGGAGTAGAATTTTTATCTTATTTCTTGGCATAAAGCTGACAACAGTCTTGACTGTAGTGATTTGGATTTTTTTTGGATTTTTTTTTCCATTTTGATAACATCATTTAATGGGAAATTCGAATCTGCAGGCCAGCTTTCACAGAGGCTTGGTGCTCTATGAATAAGACGACGTATAACTTGAATCTCAGGGCTTTCAGCACAAGTACGAAAAATTTATTTACATCCCTGTTGTTGCAGAACAAAAATACTTGGTGCTTCTGTAACAGCATGTTTGTTTAAAAGCATCAGATCACCATTTCAAATATTTCATCCCCAGTAGTTTCATTGTCATTGCTTGTTTTTTCACAGGCTCGTTTGTTTGATTTGACACATCCTTGCAGAATAATAATAATCTTCCAGATAGAGGCAGATGTGCCATGAAGCTAAGGAAGCCAAAGCTCTAGCTCCCTACTTGGAAGACTGTTTCCAGGGAGGGTCCTGGCAATCGACGTCTTCATGTGTTCTTATAAAATGTGGAAAGTAAGATGTTTTCACCACAATCCATTATGACCATGGACTCTTCTTTCTGCTGCAACTGATTCTTACTTTTCTCGCCTTAGGTAACGTTGCATGGTGGGGAAGCAGAGCTCACTAAGGAGAAGTCGAGGTGGGGCTACATTTTGTGTAGATTTAATGGGATTTATTTATGCAGTTTGCAGTCTCTTCTGCAATAGTTTATTGTCAGGCATCCCAGAATACTCCTTCCATTGGACCAACTCACCCAAAGTCTCAGCATAAAGATACAGGACCAACGGCCATGTGAAATTGACCATGCCCTACAGTACCCAGCACCGGAAGTATGCGGCGTCAGCCCAGGAGGAGCACGAGGTTTGACATGCACAGACCCAGAGGCCAGTCTGGGAGAAATATTTTCAATCATCAGAAATGGAAAACTAATTTAAGTCTCAAAAACACCTAATTAAGTGGAAGTCTTATCCTAGTAGGGATATACTTTATAATTGCATATCTTGCATTGCCAATATAGCACACAGTTGTTTTTTTTTTCTTTTCTTGATGGATTCACACAATATGGAATTTTCTGGTTGTTCTGTGTTGGTAGCACAGAAACCTGTAGCAGCACCACAAAGAGCAAGTATGTCTCAGTTGCAAAGCTGCATGTTTTATGCATCTTATCAATAATAAAAACAACTTTCAATCAGCCTCACTAGGAGAAAGACTAAATTATGTTTCTCTCCTCTGTAGGGAAAATGACATTATAAAGTATCATCACATAGAAAAGTAATCAGAGCGTATGCCACCAAAAATTTGAAAGAAAAAAAAAGAATTATAGAGTTGATCAGGGAGTTCATTAATTAGAATATTACTTTTTGAGCTTCTGTGATTTTGCAGTAGTTGTTCAAGCTTTTTTAAATTCACAAGTTGTGGTGATTTCTTTTCTCATTTGAAATGAACAGTCACCTTAAAACCTTGTTTGTATTTGGAACTTGATGTTCTTGCTCTTAAAGAGAGCCCTGCAGAGCCTGGATTCTCCCAGCTTTCATGGATTTCTCTTCAGACATTGTAACTAGTGCTAATAGCCAAAAGCAGTTATTTACACAGGTGGGGTCCTGGTTCTACAATGAACACTTTCTAGATTGAAGAGGCCTCTGAAATGATGTCTCTGTCACAGACAGGCGGCCGATGCATCTGCGAATCACACTTGTTGAAAAACGGCATTTTTCTCTCCTTTCTTTGCTACTTCTCTCCAGGCTGACAAAAAAAACCAACGTCTGCAATTGTTTGAAGCGTTTTGGCTTCCACTGTTAATTAGGCAAATTTGAAACTAGTTTCCTGAGCTCATTCTTGAATGGTTCCTAGAGTTCCCGTATTTTGCTTACAGAAGCTCGAGGAGTTCAAGTCATTTTCTGTGTAAGATGCCTGGTTTGTAGCAAGTAGATGACGATGTCACTTTCCAGGATGAATTTTCCATTAAAAAAGGAACTTTATGCCGAGGAAGAGGCTGATCATCAGAACGTGGAAATCCTAATTAATGACAAGGGTGTTTTTAAGCTACTCAGTTTGTTTGGAGAAAATTTCCAGCTTTAATCGAGAAATTGTCTGTGGTTGTGGGGAAAATAAATATCCGTAAAACTGAAACCAACTTAAATATAAAATACTTTAGGAGACTGTTACATTTTCTGGCTTCAAAGAACTCTGTTTTTCAAAATTACTCTGTAGGTTGTCTGCATTTTTACAAATGTTTTAAAACAACTTACATTGAGAATTCTGAACAATTAAACATGAGATAAAGAAAACAGGAAGTGATGATGCAAAGGTATTGCATAAATTCAACAATTAAAATTCTTCAAATAATCTTTCAGTTGAATTAAAGTAATTTGACTCATTAAGATTCCGAAACATTCACAAATATAAATATCAAGTGCTTTTACAGAAGGTCAGAAATATTTGGGGCAAAGTCAGTTTCCTGATATTATAAAGGCCACTTTAATGAACTCAATTAAATTATGCTCAATCATCATTTATTTTTAGATGTAAGCTTTTTTCCCTAAAGACAAACAATACTTTATTGTGAAATCCTATCAAGAATCACACTTCAACGGTACGTTAACTTCAACAGCTAAGATGGGAAAACACAAGAAACACTGAGAAAATGAATAAAACTGATTATGTTCTACTTAGGGAACTCGAACATCAGATAATGATGACAAAAAGCAAAACCAAAGAATCAGGTAATGGAAAAAAAAATTTAAAAAAAGCTCTAGTTAGTGTGAAAAAATTTTTAAACCACAAGAAAACTTAAGAAAAGAAAGAAAAACTAAAATTTCTCCTGGGCCACAAGTCACAAAACTTTATGTTTGATAATGAAATCACTGCTGACGTAACAGCATACTGACTGGGATGACCCACAGGACAGGAGGGGCCATTACCTACTGGACATTAATCTGCTCTGGACACACACATGTTTTTGATGCCACGTTTACTATAAATAAATTCAGGAACCGTGACTACTCCAGCAAGTGGTGTTCAAACGTTATTTCAAACATTGTACATTTAATAGGGGTTTTGGGGGTGGGGGCGTTAAAATAAGGCTTTTATAGTTTCAATAGCTGTCAAAGATTTGCACACTTGTTGTCCACGGGAGACAGGCCGGATGCCTGGGCACAATGTGTACAAAGGGAGAATTAAAATACAAGGAAAATGTTTCAAAACTTTACAGACTTCACTGTACCCGCAGTATACACTCTCCTCCCCCATCGCCCACCTCCGACCTTGCTCTCAACATCAGAAGATTCCCCAAATTAAGAGAACTTCACCCAGAGGGAAAGTGTAGCCCTTTAGGCCAATCGCTGTCCATGGGGGTGAAGGGGGACTGGGTGAGGGGTTGTAGAGAAGAAATGGTCTCCTGGGGACCCTCAAATCCCCTGGTAGATTCTTCCAAACATGCCACAGTGCATCAGAGCACAGGTTAGCTGACGGGCTGTGAGCTTATCTGCTTAGGAGATCACCTGACCCGCTGCTCCTGTAAAGGGGTTAACAGATCAAAGGCAAAGGAAGCCCAGGTCAGTATCAACTGAGCCACACTCACATAAGCCAAAATCTTTTCAATTTCTCTCCACTGAAACCGTAAAGTTGCAATTCTGCTGTTGTTTCTCACTTCGTATACTATGACACCCTTGGCACAGATTCCCAAGGCCATCTCCCCTTCTGGCCTCGTCTTCTCTGGGAGAACTTGGTAAACCAGCACACCGTATTCTGGGAGCTGCTGAGTGACCTGGAATGAGAAAAAAGCCAATTTAGAACAGACAGGCAAATTGGTCTAAAATAATGGATTTCAAACCACTCCATGAAAAACACCTCTAAACAGATGGTCTGGGAAAAAAAGAGCAGGGTTGCCAAATATGTTAGGAAACACTGAGCGAAACAAATCTCCTTACTACAGAATTTCTCTGCACCTCTAATATGGTAATGTTTTCCTGTTTTATTAGCCCAAGGAATCCTTTCCTAAAGGAGTACTTTAAGACACTTGGAACACAGTTATGAAAATGATTCAATAAAGGAAGAATATTCTGAACAAGGTTGTAGAATTCAGACTATTCTGAGTCATCTCAAGGTAAGGGGTTCCTTTTTCCAGAGTCTACTGCGGTATTATCTGATGCAACCCCTTTGTTTCACAGATGGAAAAACTGAGGCCCAAGCACAAAAAGCAGCCTTCCAAAGGATCAGCATCACTGTTAAAGCAAGATGAGCCATGAACATCCTGCAGAGAAAATGACCAATCAGGTGCCTTGGTGGGGTCCCCAGAGCCCATGACCTGTTTTCAGTTTACCAGGTTAGGAGGTGGAATTTTGTCATGGGTCAGTCAGAGCTGGGGACTGCACCAGGCCAGCCACATTGTTAGGAGGCTGGAGCAAATGCAAATATTTTTATGTCTGAATGGTAATCACATCTCTATCATTTTCCTTTTCACCTGGAGGACACGAGTCCTCACCAGAAGGTTGACGCACCTGGGCTCACAGCAGCGACATCTTGCTCCAGGCGTGTGAAACTCTCATAAGGGTTTCATTGGTGAGCTCTAATTTCCCATCTCTACCCCCAAACAGAGGGCTGTCTGTCCTGTCCAATCTCTCTCATCCCCAGGCACAGTGACAAAAATGAGGACAAATTATGGCTTTTGAGAGCTCCTTTCTCAGGCTTCCTGCTGACCTTTCTCCCTTTGCTGATAAACGATATGTGTATAGAGGTCACGCTGCCTGCAAAACCTACAACTCTTTATGTGACCTTTATCGAGTGTCTGGCCCCTAAACCTCCCTGCTTTTCTTAACTTTGGAGACACTCTGTCACCATCATCTTCATCATCATCATCATTCAAAACAATATTCACTGGACTCTGGTTCTGAAGTATCCAATGGCCAGACCAGGCATGTGCTTAAAGTATGACAAAGCAAGGCCATCCCAAAACAACTAAGTAAATTCTTTTAAAGAATTTGATACGATACATCTTTTAAAAAATTGAAACATTAAAATAGTCCCCATTAGAATAGAAATGTCTTTGCTAGACTTGCTTATATTTTTTTAATTGTTTAGTATTTTAAAAAAAATTTTAATCATGTAGAGAGGGATATGATACTGAAGTATTTGGAGCCACGAAATTCTTAAAATGGTAAAGTGCCATTCTGAACGTTCTCCAAGCATTCTTTCATTTAATCTTCACAGCAATCATAAAGATAGGTGGCACTCTCTCTCTTCAAAGAAAAACATGGTACAGGAAGCTTAAGCAATCATCAAAGGTCCCACTTGGAGCCAAACATGGAAACATGAATCTGTTTGCCTTTTTTTTTTTTTCAGGTGGGTTTTTTTTTCCCTCTTTTTTGTTTTTTGTGTGTGTGTGTGTGTGTGTGCGTGTGTGTGTTTTTGGTGGAGTGAGGTAACCAGGTTAATTAATTAGTTAATTAATTTTTTGATGGCAGTACTAGGGATTGAACCGAGGACCTTGTGCATGCTAGGCATGCACTCTACCACTGAGCTATACTCCCTTGAGTCTGTTTGCTTTTGAGTCTTCACTCTTAATGACTAAAATACAGTTTCCATAAAGTCTGGAAATATCAGTAAATATATGTAATGTCATTAAGTGCGTCTTCAGTCTATAAAAAAATAAATAATAATATCTATGTCTCCATGCTCTGCTAAGGAATCTTCTGGGGCACCTCTCCTCCTCCACAGTGTTGCTACTGCTGATTTTCCTCTCTGAGGGTCCCTTCATCTCCTTAGATCTGCGTAGGTCCATCTCACTGGTTTCCCCTTATCCCTCCAGTGGGCTGCAAAGTTAAGATTGGACTCAGGCTCTCCTGGCTCCCAGCCCACCCAGCACACTTGCTGTACTCAAAACTGTCAGAACAAATAGATTGTTTCCAGATACTCTTCAAGAGATTTACATAGCAGCACTATTTACAATAGCTAAAACATGGAAGCAACCTAAATGTCCATCGACAGACAGCTGGATAAAGAAAATGTAGTGTATATATATATATATATACATACATACACACAATGCAATACTACTCGGCCATAAAAAATAATAAAATAATGTCATTTGCGGCAACATAGATGGACCTGGAGATCATCATACTAAGTGAAGTAAACCAGAAAGAGAAAGAAGAATACCATATAATATCACTTATATGTGGATTTAAAAAATAGACATAAATGAACTTACTTATAAAACAAACAGACTCACAAACACAGAAAACAAACTAATGGTTACCAGGGGGGGAAAAGGGGTGGGAAGGGATAAATTGGGAGTTTAAGATTTCAGATACTAACTACTATATATAAAATTGATAAACAACAGGTTTATACTGTATAGCACAGGGAACTCTATTCAATGTCTTGTAGTAACCTATAATGGAAAAGAATACAAAAACAAATATGTGCATGTATATGGCTGAAACATTTTGCTGTACACCAGAAATTGACACAACATTGTAAACTGACTATACCTCAACAACAACAAAAAGTAAATGAAAGAAAAAAGAAAAAAAGAGATTTCGACCAATTCATATCCTTTGACCCTGGGACTCTGTCCTAAGAAAACATACTGGATAATCAAGACGAACCCTTGATCACAGTGGTATTTGGTGCTGACTTGCAGAATTGGGTTTAGAGGGGTTAGTTCCTGTAGGTAAATGGTTTCCTAAAGATAGCACTGCCTTAAAAGAGATTATCAGGGAGGCTTTACAAAGGATGCTTACAAAGCATTTGTAATTATCTGGGGAATGCATATGTTACAATGCTAAGTAGGGGAGAAATACTGGGTATAACTGGTGTGACTTCAATAGCAAAAAGGAAAAAAAAACAGAAAAGAAAGAAAATATTTTAACAGCATATTTTGCAACCTCTGGTTAGGTGGGAAAAATGGTTCCATGGTTTAAGAAGTTTGGAAAATACTGAGTTAACCTGGAGCAGGTTGTTCTGGGACTGACACGCTAATGTAGCTGTGAATCTTGCAAAGAGAGTGTGTTACTCAGCGTTCCCCAAATTGGACTTCCGCCAAGACTCTTCCTAGTGCAAGACGATGAACTAGCAGAATTAGTCATTGGTGACCCAGAGGCCAACAGGAGCTATCTGATAATGGAACAGACAGCCATGAGATGCTCTAATTAAATAATCCAGCAACTGCTTATGGAGTAACTGGGCCTTGTGGGGGTCTCTGGGGATCCCAGGCTTTCCAACATTTACAACCTAGTAGAGGGGACAAGAAAGGAACAAATGACAGCCATGAAGGGTGTCAGCAATAGGTATCAACATTGTTCACAATGTTCTTAACCTTCGACCCTGTAATCACACTCATGACAGTCTCTCCCCAAGAAATTAAGCACAAATGCAGCTAAAGACTTATGTAGGAAAAAAATAGTTATCTCAGTATTGTTTAAAACAGTCACATATTTGAAACAATTTATGTGCCAAACAACAGAGTATTGAGAAAAAATTTAGGATACACCACATGCTGATTCAAAATAAAGATTCAAAATTTTAGAGGGATGGGATTATTAAAAAAAGCCACAAAAGTGACTACATAGTATAAATCCAATTTTAAATATATATACATATACACGTTACTGCTTAAAGAGAGGAGGATGAATATACCCAAGTGTAATTATATTATCTCCACTGGGCAGAATCACGAGCAAATGGTTCCTCTTAAAATCACGGGGAAAAGGACTTGGTTAATAAACACTAGCCCTAACAGGAGGACTCGCAACGTCACCAAGCCCTCTCTAGTTCATATCTGCTCCGCGGGCAGGCCCAGTATTAGCAAGCCTAGCCAACCGCCGAGGGGAACCACGAAAGCCTGTGTTTCCTGAAACCGGTGAGATCACTTGCAAATCAAGTCAAATCTATTCAGTGTTTTCCATCAAAGACGGAAAAAAAAAATAGAGATGATCATACTAAGTGAAGTAAGTCAGACAGAGAAAGATAAGTATCATATGACATCACTTATATGTGGAATCTTAAAAAACTCACAAATGAACTTATTTACAAAACAGAAACAGACTCACAGACATTGAAAACAAACTTATGATTACCAGTGGGGAAAGGGGGAGGTGGAAGAGATAAATTGGGAGTTCGGGATTTGTAGATACTAACTACTATATATAAAATAGATGAACAACAAGGTTCTAGTATGTAGCACAGGGAACTATGTTCAGTATCTTGAAATAAACTATAATGGAAAAGAACTGGAAATATATATATATATAACTGAATCGCTTTGCTGTACACCTGAAATTAACACAATCTTGTAAATCAATAATACTTCAATTAAAAAAAAATCGCCTGCGTTTCTGCTTATGAGATGATGGTTTCCTTTACAATCACTTGTCATCATTCAACCAGAGGAAGGAGGGACACAGTGAGCCCGGCACTCTAAGCTGGGGCTTGGGCAGAGGCAGGTCCCATCATCCACCTGCAGGAGCCCCTGCACACCTGAGCCCTTGGCCTCTCTGCTGGCTCTGCGGTCCTGTGGCCACTCTCCATCAGACGTGCTGATGTCTTTAAAGTCCCCACTTGTCCCTGGTCAAGGGAAAGCTCTTGACAGGGAACATCGGGAAGGCTGAATTATGGAATGCAGTGGGCGCCTTTCTACCAGGGATTCTCAAATGAAAGGCTTGAGGGTTTACACTGTGCTGGGTGTGGCAGACAGTTCCAAGAGACCGACCAGAAAAAAAAAAAAAAGATAGACCTTACTTTGGCAGATTAAAAGCAAGAAAACACAGACAGAATATTTCTGCCTTGGGAGATTTTGTGCAGAGAAATGTACAAAGCCTGGAGCTTCCTTTTGAAACTGCTCCCCAGCTGCAAATGCCCCACCAGGTACATCACCCTGGCGAAGCTGGGGGCCTCCTCTTACTTGTCGCACTCGCTCCATCAGCACAGGCAGGGCGGCCACTCCCTCCCAGCCTGATGTAATAACTGGTGCTGTTATTCCCATCGGGCAGTTATCACAGTATTGCAGGCCTCTGGGTACCCATCTGTCCTCCCTAGGAGACTTGGGGACTCCCTGCGAGCAGGGAGCATGTCCCTTCTGTCTCCGGTTCCTACTGTGCCTGACCCACTGCAGGTGTAAGTTATGCAGTGAGCAAAGGCTATTTGTCGGAAGTTCTGTATGTGCCCACAGACATAAAGGACTGAACTATCGCTGCTTTTGCTAAAGGGCCAAAGACAGAGTGGACCAGAGCTGCACCCAAATGTATGGGGCACACCCTCTGTGCTGTGCTGAGAACAGGTGCCCACAAGGCTGCAAATCTGAGGTCTTCCAATGGCTTTGCTTTTTGGCTCACACCCGAGTTTTGTACTTCAGTTGCCCCAAACGTCTCTATGAGAAATGCGTTCTCCCCACTCATGCAAAAGTGACTGTGAGCTCTGAGGTTGAAGAAAGGCCCTGCTACACCCACTCCAGCCACGAAACCCTACTCATTCGGGGGAATCACTTCCAATGCCATCTACTTCCAGAAGCCTCTCCTTGGGTGACGGAGCTGCCTTCCTCCCAAAGTCTTAAGTGCCTTGCTCATACCTCCTTGTGGGTCTGAGTACATCCAGCCCCAGAGAAATCTCCAAAGGAGATTGCTGATTGCACGCCTTTGAACACCATCATACCCTCTCAAGAGTCCAAAGGCCTCACCCTCAAGAACTCCAGCTCGGCATCCTCTCCCCAGAGCACAGGACTCAGACGGTGCATCTCTGAGACTTCGGCTTGGACCTGGAGAGCCGTCATCCTCTCAATCAGACTTGCAGGGATGTAATCTTCAACTCGAAAATAGGCTTTATTTTCAACCTGCTGGAAAGATGCAGAAGAAAAAGGGCACGATCAAGATGCCTTCGATGGGACTCCGAGAAGAACAGAAGCCTGACTGCAGTCAAACCCCAGTTAGGGCCCCAGGGCAAGGATGCTCCTTTGAAGTGCCCACTGGTCTATCTTTTTCTACCATATGAGATACTAGCTTTTCCGTCTGCATGTGCTACTGTCCTCTACTCCCAAGGGAAGTCTTGGCTGTGGCACCATCTCTCCGCAAGAAAGTGATCGAGAAGTCGCCCCCTGAAGAAGAGAAGATTTGACACTCTCCATTCCTGCCCCAGGCCCGAATCTTCATCAGATCTGCTCTTTCAGGGACTGGAGGCTGCAGCCCCATCAGGAACTGTGGAAAGATGGTCATGACTGAGCACCGCTTGCTGCCTGATGGTTCCCTGGTCCAGACTCTGGGGCAGGGAGAGGAATGAAGAAGTTTGGCAGAAGTGGTCTCGGGGTTCACTGTAAGGAAGGAGGGAGGCAGGACTTGGCAAAAGGAGAATGTGACCCTTCCCTTGTATTCCTGAATCAGCCTGTCCTGGTCTCAGGCAGCCCCTCCCAGCCTAATCTTGGGCAAGACCATTCCCCGCAGCCAAGAGCAACTACCTGTGAAGAGGGCAGCTGGGAGTAGGGAGCATGTGGCTTCTCAGGGCTAAGGATGGGCAAGTTGGTCAGATGAGGGGGTCTGAAGGGAACAGCACAGGTCCATGACCCCCTCATGCTCCTAACATAAGCACAGGCCTGTCCCCATGAGGCTGTGGACTGAGAATCCTCCAGCCTAGAGCTGGTGCATGCTGGCTCTGGCTCTGAGCTCAGCTCAGAGACGAAAAGGGGAAGACATTGCTCAGCAATCTAGTGCATGAAAAAATCATTCAGAATATTATCAGAATGGCCAAAATCCAGAACACCAAATGCTGACAAAGATGTGGAGCAACAGGAACTCTCATTCATTGCTGGTGGGCATGCAAAATGGTACAGCCACTTTGGAAGATGCTTTGGCAGTTTCTTACAAAACTAAACATCCTCTTACCATAAGATTCAGCAACATTTGCTCATCGGTATCTACCCACAAGGAGCTGATAACTTATGTCCACACAGAAACCCGTATGTGGATGTTTATAGCAGCTTTATTCATGACTCCCAAAACTGGGAAGCAAGAGATGTCCTTCAGTAGGTGAATGAATAAATAAACTTTGGTACATCCAGCCATGGAATATTACCCTGCGAGAAAAGGAAATGAGCAATCAAGCTGAAAAGACATGGAGGAAACTTCAATGTATATTACTAAGTGAAAGAAGCCAGTCTGGAAAGTCTACGTACTGTATGATTCTAACTATATGACGTTCTGGAAAAGGCAAAACTATGGAGATCGTAAAAAGATCAGTGGTTCCCAGGGGCTGGGGGGAGATGGAGGGATGAACAGACGGAACACAGAGGATTTTTAAGACAGTGAAACTACTCTGAGTGATACTGTAATAGTGGATATAAGTTATTACAAATTTGTTCAAGCCTGTAGAGTATACAACACCAAGAGCAAATTCGAATATCTACTATGGACTCTGGAGGATAATGATATGTCAATGTCAGTTCATCAATTGCAACAAACGCACCACTCTGTTGGGGGACATGGCTAGTGGGGAAGCTGTGCGTGTGTAGGGGCAAAAGGGTATATAGGAAATCTCTGCTCCATCCACTCAATTTTGCTGTGAACCTCAAATGGCTCTAAAAAAAGTCTATTAAACATTAAATTTTAATTTAGGACTTTGACCTCTCATCTTATTGCTAGGACTACGTCCTAGAGAAGTCCACATGCAACTCAAAGGAGTCCAGCACAAACAGGTATTTCTATGTCATTTATTTAAAAAAGAAAGATCAGAAGGAACTGAAACAAGAATAAGAGTAATCCTTACCACTTACACCGTGCTTCTGGGCGATGCCCAAGAGTGAGAGAACAAATAAGTAAAGAAAGGTCCGGTCCTGCTGAAGCATCGCGTGTGGCCATCCCAAATGTTCATTAGGAAGGCCAGGGGAAGACACGCACCATTGAGCGAGAAAGCAGAATGCAATCTGAATGTGACAGTGTTTACAACTGCATAAAAATCCCTGCGTGTGATCAAAGGCTGGAAGAGAAGTCTCCCAGAGGAAAGTTGTTCTGCTGCGATGATGTGATGAAGGAGATTTATTTTTTGTACCAAACTGTCTTTGTCTCTCTTTTTAAAATGCAAATGTAATCATGTTACTTCCCTGCTTAGAATTCATCAGTGGCTCCCAGTCTTTCACTGCAGTGGTTTCCAAATTCTTTTTCCTTTTCCAGCACCAGAACCATTTATCAAACAAAATATCCGCCCCTTAGGAGGGCATACTAAGTTCCTCCTAAATCTGACCGGCGGTGCCGCCCAGCCTCACAGCGCTTTAGCTAAAACTGCATGAAACCCCTGCAGCTCTGGACAGGCCAGCTCCTCCTCCGGCCCACGCAGTGGCCCAGACACAGGGAGGGGTTCTCTTCTCTGAGCTCCCCCTAATGTCCTTTGAGGTGCCCACCGCAGTGCCTGGCACATAGCGAAGCAAGGCCCTAGAAGTGAGCCCTGGCTGTGCTCTCGCTGGCTTTCCTAACCTCACAGGGACACAACTTCTTCTAAAATGCAAATGGAAGTAACACTTGTTTTGCAAGGTTGACACAAACTTAGATGACGCAAACCTGGAGCAGGCCCTCCATACATTAGGGCTGAGCACTAATGAATGAGTGTCTGTAATCTGTTACCTTTCTACAGGTTTACACACACACACACACACACCCCCAGAAACAGAAAAGCTCTGGCTTTGGGGGCCACATGGGGGCAGCAGAGAACATCTTGGAACCACACTGGTCCCCAGTGCAGCAGGCAAGGTTGAGGTTAGGAAGGATCCCGGGGAGAAGCTGGAGGTGAAAGATGAGACTGGGCTGTGGCAGGAGCTAGGTGAGGCCAGTCAGAAACTGGACAGGTGACAGGCGCAGGGGGCCGCCAGAATGGGGTGCCTAGAGACAGGTCTGGGCCCTGGAGCCTCGGGACAAGTGATCCCATAAGGAGGATCTGGGCCTGAGTGCTCCCCACTGCCTTCAGCGGAGCTGGCCCACAGCTCTCACCACTCTCAGCCCTCGAGTTCAGTCTCAGGTTACACGTCGCCTGTCTGCATCTACAGACCGACAGTCAGTCTTCACACTGTTTGCTAGTAGAGCGCTCCTGATGCTGGGGTGCGGGGAGGGAAGCTCGCAGACAGCAGTTGCTACCTGCGGGCCCTATACATATATCACTGCCTTCCGCCCTTACAGCACCTTTGACCTACTATTATTTCCATTTTCTGGAGGAAAAAGTCGAGACATAGATTAACATGCCAGAGCTCACGTAGCTACTTACCAGAAGAGTCAGGGCTTGGACCCAGTTCTGTCTGACTCCAAATCTCAGGCCCATGCCTTTGCTCCCTGGGGCACTGTCCCTGGAAGCCACCCTCACCTGTCCGCACAAGCCATGTACAGGGCTGGACTACAGGCTGCAGCGAGGATGTTGACTGATTCGCTGCCCCCCCACCCCCACCGCGTCTGAGAGCAGCCTCCACGTGCCCGGGCCCTTCTCCTCCCAAGACCTCCCCAAGGGAGCAGCCCAAGGGCAGGAGAGCTGGCCTAGGCATGGCGCTGGGGGCTGAGCAGACAGCAAGGATATACCAGTGTCACCAGTGACAGGCTTGGAGGCTTGTCCAAGCGGCAGGGAGGGGTTCCGGGGGCCAGGCCAGCTCTGGGAGGCTGCCCACCAGGGCTGGGGTGTTGCCAGGAGGAGAAGGTGAAGTCTCCATCCCCAGGGACTGAAGTGGGAGCAGGGAAGAGGGGTCAGAGGGCAAGGTGGTGGGAATACGGCTCCATTTCCCTGACAAGCAAGATGCTGACCTGCCTGCTGGGTGACTTTTATCCTTGGTGTTACCCAGTCCCTGAAGCCTGTGTTCCATCCATCCATCCACTCCTTAGACCAACAGCCCTTGAGCAAACTCCTAGGTTGGAGGCACCACTTTGGTGCTGGGGAAATGGCAGAACAAAGCAGACAAAACCTTTACCCTCTGGTGGGTTCCTTTCTAACAGGGAGCTTGACAACAAGACTGATTGATAAACGAATAAACCACGCCCAGTGGTGAAAAATTCTAGGAGGGAGCACACAGCAGTGTGAGGGGGTAAAGAGGGTCTTAGACACGTCCAGACATGGTGGCACCTTCTGAACAGGTGCGAGGAGGAAAGCAAGATGATATTAGTGTATTCTGCAAAGTGTTTTTCAAACTGTAGCCTACGATCGATTACTATGCTATGAAATCAATTTAGTGTTTCATAACCAGCATTTTAAAATTATCTAGACTAGAATAGGAAATGCCGAAGTGTATAGAAAAAGTGCATCTGATTTCCTAAACATTTGCCTCACTTCTGTCCCATGTACACATGTGTGTGGGTTGGGTTACAATGTCTGTCATCTTTTTATCATGGGCCATGGCACCAAATATTTGAAAGCTGGTGATGATAGGAACTTAATAAACTAGTAAATTACTGTTTTTAGGCAGGACCTTAGATTAGAACTACATTACAATGTATAAACTTGACTCATTCATCTTTGTATCCCCCAGAGCCTAGCAAAGAACACTTGATGGATGCTTGTTGGATGGATGGATGGATGAATGGATGGACGGACGGACGGATGGATATAGTTTACCCCAATCACAGTGGTAGATGCTAACAGTACAGCTCAGTGTTCACATTTCTAACAGTTCCCCCCATCCCATAACTGCTACTCTGGTAACTCCATCCAAGGGCCCCGGGTCTCCATCCCTACCTCCTCTGGGTAGCTGCCAAACTCAGCCTGCAAGGCGAGGACCCCCAGCTGTAGCAGCATCTCGTCATTGCAGTACAGCCTCTCCTCCAGGATGTCTTTCCGAAGCTGCAGGTAAAATTGATGCCTTGTCCAGCTGTGCCTGGGAAAGAAATGCAGGAATAAAGGTCCTGGAAATGCTGAAGGAGAGGGGAACTCTAAAGCCAGAGGGTTTTCTCAGTCTGGGAAGCAGGGAAAGGAGAGAAGAGGGTATATAAGTCAACAGAACCCAGAGGGCAATGCCAGAAAGACAAGGGCTGTCTCCTTTAGCCACCCTGTGCCTCCTGTCACCCCTGAGGGCTGCTCTGTGCCAGTCACTCCACACAACACCCATGGAGACGGTTGCAGCTGCAGTTCAAATGAGAAAACTGATATTCAGTTAGATGGTGCTTCGAGTAAGCAAAGGAATAGAGACAGTGGTCCAATCCCAAGCCATGACCCTCTTCTCCAACCCTCATCATCATGGGTTGCTGGGGGGCAGGGCGTGTTGGGGTCTGGGGAGACAGAACTTTGACCTTGACAGCTGTATCTTTGAAAGAAAAGGGCAAGTTCTCATTTTGACCAGAGCCTGTCCCCAAACACTGATTTTTCCCCCCTTTTGGTCATATTGGAATCCAATCAACAGAAGACCAACCGCAAACACCGGTTTAAGTTATATATACATTGGTTTGCCAAACCCTTGTCTAGCTGTTATTTCTAACATCAACCTGGACATCTGTAAAAGCCTTAAGTTAAAAACCAAGAAGTCTGCAGAACTCACTGGAACAGCCCACAGTGACTGACAAAGAACTTGATCCTCAGAAAGAGCGTGAAGGTCTTTGGGGTGCTCCTCTTCTGGGGCTGCTCACTCCAGCCTTCGGGGGCAATTTTGCACAACCTGGTTTCAGCATCCAGGAAAAAGAACTCTTTGCCTGAAATGGAAGTAGAGCGTGTTAAGAGGGAAAAGCACTTGGGCAGGCACCACCCTGCAGACCCACAGCCCTGAGCTCTGTCCAGAGGGTCAGACAAGAGCCGATGGAATGCAGGAGACAGCAGGAAGGAAGTCCTCTGGAAACTTAGTACCAAGGAACTTTGTTGAGTCCACCAGGGGCCAAGAGCAGAAGACAAAAGAGGAGAGAGTCAAGGAAAAGAAACTCAGCACCTAGAGGAGAAGATACAATTATTTATCATAGGGGAGATACCACTTTACATCTGCCTTCCAGCTACCATCTTATGAAGATAAAATTTTAAAACAAAGAAATGAGTGTTTTTTCCATTTCTGCAATGGACTGAGCACTCCGCATCAAACAGGCCATCCCCAAGTCTCCCCAGCCACAGTAGGATGGACTGAATGTTTATATCCCTCACCCCCAAATTCGTATATGGAAGCCTTAACCCTCATGTGATGCTCTTTGGAGATGAGGCATTTCGGAAGTAATGAGGTTTAGATGAGGTCATGAGGGTGGGGCCCCCATGATAGGATTAGTGTAATAAGAGGAGGAAGAGCTCGCTGTCTCTGCTCCAGGAGGGCACAGTGAGAAGGTGGCTGACTGCCATCCAACAGGAGAGCCCTCATCAAGAACATGACCATGCTCAAACCCTGACCTTGGACTTCCCAGCCTCCCGAACTCTGAGAAATAAAGGTCTGCTGTATGAGCCACCCAGTCTAGGATATTTTGTTATAGCAGATCGAGAAGACCAAGACAGGGTGTAAGTAAGGTCACCCTTTGTCTTTTGAGCTGAATGTTGCCATCTTGAGACCTCTACCAACCCAAGCTCAGGACTTCAATGCCACTAGCACCTCTGGGAGGGAGGCTGAACCGGCCCCAGCCACGGACAGCCCCACCTCCACGCCCTGCTCTCCTCAAGGCAAAATTTGACCCTAACCACCCAGGTGGGCCCCTTGGCCACTGCCCCCTGGGGCCCCTGACAATCTGCTCCACACCCTTCTCCATGTTCTGTCCTCTCAGTGCAGAGGCACTCTGGACCAGGTTGCTGGGGCACAGCAGGTAACCAGCCCTTCCTCCCAAAGGTATCTTCACACTGGGGAGAGGGACAGAGGAAGAGGTGTCTAGAGTAGTTCAAATAGGTGTCACCACACCATGCCCTGACCTCTGCCCCCTGTGCCATCAGCCTTTGCTGCTGAATCTGATGCCCATACCAACTCACCCTCCCCTGTGGCTCACATCTCCTCAAGGGATGGGCAGGTCCCCATTACAATTTGACTGGCAAACCTTCCCAAGGGGGTTTATATCCAATCCCCAGACTGATCACTGTTGAGTGATTTACCCAGGAGGCCCCAGCTAAGTAGCTCTAGAAGGTCCACCTGGGAAGGGTCTGGGGTAGACACCTGGCTGGCAGGAGAAAGCAGAGAATAAGCTTTAAGGCTGTCCTCCCAGAACAAGCCAGGGGTTTTATGAAGATTGCATGTTACAGATCAATAAAAATACAATGTTTCCTAAAGGTTCTTCTGTTCACACTTTACAAAAGATTGAGCAAACATCAGTTGATCACATCAAAGTGTGTAATGGTTGATCTTTTTACTTGGGAGAGGGGCCTTTTGGAGGTCCCCTGAGAAGTATGGGAGGGGAGGACCCTCTTCTGACCACTGTGGCCCGCTGAGTGATCCTATGACAAGCTTGTGACCTCCCCTGATGGGAGAGAACAGAGAAACATGGAAATTATGAGATGGAGCAAGGTGGGCTGGGAGAGCCAGGATTTAACCTGAAGGCCTGTATGACCCCAGCTCAGCCTCTGTCCCGTTACTCCCTCCACACACTGTTTAAAGAGCTTTGCCTGCAACAAAGGGATATTTGCAGTAGATGGATGTTGAGTCCCGTTAACATAACAGAAGGGCAGAGATGGGCAGACGTGAAAACCCTCTCCCGCAGGATCTTCAGAATGGATTCTCAGCTTGGGCTCCAGGGGGTGGGGTGCTGATTTTCCATTAGTCCAGTATGATTAGATAAACATTTTAAAAAACTTTATTGTGGTTAAAAGACACACAACATAAAATACACCATCTTAACCACAGTTAAGTGTATAGTTCAGCGGTGTTGAGTATATTCACATTATTACACGATCATCACCACCATCCATTTCCAAAACTTTTTCATCTTACAAAACGGCAGCTCTATACCCACTAAACAATAACTCCCATTTCCTCCTCCACCCGGATCCTGGCAACCACCATTCTGCTTTCTGTCCTATGAATTTGACTCCTCTAGGTAGCTTACATAAGTGGAATCATACAATATTGGCGTTTTGTGTAAACTGGTTTATTTCACTTGGCAAATGACCTCAAAGTTCATCTACACGGCAGCATGTGTCAATGCCCTTCTTTTTTAAGGTTGAAGAATATTCCATTGCATGAATATACTGCATTTTGTTTATCTATTCTTCCATCAGTGGACACTTAGGTTGCTTCCACATTTTAGCTGCTGTGACTAATGCTGCCACAAACACGAGCATACAAATATCTTTCACTTATTTTGGGTGCATACGCCAATGTGGAATTGCTCGATCACTGGGTAAATTTGATCGTAATTTTTTGAGGAAACTCCATACTGTTTTCCATAATGGCTGTACCATTTTGTATTCCCACCTAGATGGAAAAATTTTTCCCATTTGCTTATCTAACCTCAAGGTGTTGAGATCGGTCAACCAGACCCTGCAAATCACAGAAGCCACAACGTCTTACATGCACCATTTCCTTACCATCCTCTGCACTTACTTCACCATTTGCACAGGAGGACTTGATATGCTGGCTAATGTCTAGGTGTGCAAGGTGGGGCCTGCCAGTCTCAAGCAGTTTTGTTGGAAAGAATAGTGCTCAGGTATCTAGACACCTGGGTTACATGCGGCACCAGGCCAGCAGTGGGCCACCTGGAAGACACTTACCTTTCAAGCAAGCCAAGCCAAAGTAGGTGAGCTCCCCAAGGTTGGCGAAGGACACAATGGCGTTGAAGACGGCTCCCACAGTCGACGTGATGTCACACTTCACCTCCAGGCACTGTCCACTCAGTAGCACCACACTGAGGTCCCTGAGAGCCAAATAGGATTTCCCTTTTCTGGTCTGCAAACAAGAACAGTATACATTGTAACAATAACTGCAAAGCATGGAGTCCCCACCATGGGCTAACGGCTGGGCTAAGCACTTTATAGGCCCCGCCTCATTTAACTGACAAACAACCCTAAGAGATGAGTATGTTTACGGTTCCTATTCAGCAGATAGGAGACAAGGCTCAGGGACGTTAGGGGCTTGCCCAGAGTTGCACAGTTAGTAAAAGGCAGGGCCAGACTCAAATCCATGCTCTCTGACAGGCCCTAACAGGGCCAGGAAGGCGGAGGAGGCACGTGTAATGAATGGATGTCTCTGCCCTGCAGAAATTCCCTCTGACCCCCTGGGCCCTGCGTCCCAAGAGGACTGCTCAGGGCCACATCGATCAATCATATACCCACCCCCAGGAGTGGGGGACAACCTGACACTGACCACCCCCCGCTGGCCTTCAGAGAGCACAGCAGAGAGAACAGGTGGGCACAGATCCATGGAAGAGAGAGGCTGGAGCTAAGGGGATGAAGGTGAACTGAGAAACTGATCAGCAGAGCCACATCCAATGATGCAGAGCAGCACCTGCCTTCTGTCTCTTCATCCCGCTCAGATTACTTCCGGAGTCATCCGCTACGACAGCCACCACCCCCCAACCACTGTCTCCTCCCCTCAGCCACCCAGAATGGCCCTTCATTCTGCCGCCACACAGCCTGTCTGCCTACGTCCTGCACACACTGCCTGCTGCCTGGAATGCTCTTCCCCTCCGTCCCTACAAAGCAAGTTCCTACGAGTCTTCCAGAAGGGGCTCAAGACCTCTTGTCTGTGGCCTGGAGGGTCAAGGCTCCCACTCCCTTCTCCGATCCCACCACACCTTGTGCTCAGGATCCCAGCCTTCCTAAGGACAGGGGCTGAGTATCCCCTGTGCCCCAAAGCCTAGCCTGGGGCTGGGCCCAGACCTTCCCAGAATGTCCTCATTAATAGACAGTCACGGAATGACACTGGGTGTGGCTTCAGTGCCATTGAGACCATGCCTGCAGCCACACTATGACTCTCCTACACCCAGGGGCCAGCGCAGGTCTGAGGACCCTGTGGGAAGGGCTTTTGCCATGACCCCGAGCAGGGTGAACCACATGGCACGTTCTAAGCCACCCTGGTTCCTGCACGTCCTGCACACCTGTGTCACCTGGGGGGGGGTTCATGTACAGGTGAGGTGAGAGAGAGAAAGTGAGCTATAGAAGATGCTCTGAGGTGTCCAATGCTTGGATTTAATGCTTTGCAGTTGACCTCTTGAAATTGGTAATAAGTGTATCTTTTAATGTGTGTTTTCAAAGTGAGGTCCCATCCAAAATGCACAAGAGGCTTTGGTTCACTGTGGTCCTCCCTCCCCATCTCTGGTAATGGGTTCCAGCCGCCAACTCCTCTGTTTCCTGGGGCACTGTTCCCTGGTGCCCCAGGCCCCGTCCAGCCCCTCCTCCCTCCACTACCCTGTGACCTCTGCCACCCTCCTCCCAGGGCGGCCACTAGCTCATATTACACCATCACTCCCCTCCTCTGCAGGGGGCTGGTTCAGGAAGGGTCCCAGTCAGGTATACACATGCCAGGACATCTCGGAGCAGGGCTGTCCCCACTGTGGGCTGGCAGGACCAACGCTGTTTCCTTGGGCCTCAGGAGGGGCCAGCCTGTCACTCACCCCCAATCCAGGTACCGAGTGCCTCTCCATACAGAGGTCGCAACCCCTGATGGGTCTGTGGTCCACCTGGGCTGGGGCAACAGAGCTGAGGGAAGGGAGATTGACTCTTCCTCCCCAGAAACGAGACAAACACCTAAAGGCTAGTACATGGGCTCCCGGTGAAAAGGACTCAGTTTTGTTCATAACAGAGCTTTGGGGTCTGGAGTAGTGCCTGGCAACTACTAGACCTGAAACAACATTTCCCAACTGAATGGGAAGATGAAGGCTGACCTCGTCTGGAGGACCAGCTGGACTTTGTCACCGAGGGTTCCTCTTAAAGGGGAAGAGGGATGCTGGGGGACGCAAAGCTGAGTGTGACTTGTTGAGGGCTGGCAGGCGTCTGGAGGAGCTCAGTCGGCCTTGGGGCCTGCCCAGCTGGCCGGTCTCCCACCACCCTCCAGCCCTATCCCGTCTAACCCAGCAGTTACCACAATCGATCCAGGCAGGTGCAAGGTCACCGGGGCCTCTCCAGCCAGCAGGGCGAACTCCGGCCTGGAGAACTGAGGAAACATGCAGGGTCACTCACTGTAGAGAAGTCATGTTCCACGGGGCTGGACCCCCAGCTGCAGAACTGGGCTTCCCCCATGGCTTCACACCCCTGAACCACCAGCAGCATGCCCACCCCCAGAGCCAGCGGGAAGTAGGTGCCAGTGAAGTGAAGCTCAACTGGGTTGAGGCCCTAGTAGGCTGGGCATCTGGGAGCAGATGTCTCACAAGTTGGTGTGGTCTGGGGATGTTTAAGCTCTTCTTTCGGGGATCCACTTCATTCTAAATTTCATAATTTACGCCTCCTTTATATCATCTTTTAATATCTCAAAATTATTAAACACAGTATAGCAGACAAATATGTATTATATGCAATAAGTTTTGCTGAAAACAAAAATACCTTTAGATTTAGATTCAATGAAACGTTTTTCCAGCTCAACCCTGGATATGGAATCAGTCGTGCCCATGAACAGCTATTCTCAGTTTCACAATACTTGCTGTTTCTGTCACACTTGTGACCCAGGAAATGCCTACATACCATCACTATTTAGACCCAGCCATCACCCTGTGCAGTGGGAATTCTCAGCCTGTTTTGCAAGAAGCTGAGACCCCAAAGGGTAAGAAACTCACCCAAATCTAACACCAGTGTGTGATAGGATAGGGCGGGCCTTCTAATGTGTCCCCCAAGAGGCCACCAGTCCTGCCAGGGGGTGACCTGTGTCCTGAAAGAGTTCCCAATAGATGCATCTTTAGTGAGTGGTTATGAAGAAACCCTAAAGCAGGTGAACAAGCCCTCCCTGATGCCGGGTCAGCCATGAAGACTTGACAGTGGCCTTGGAGGGCAGCAGGGGCTGGAGGGGAGTGAGAGCCCGGAGGCACACAGGAGAGGATGTCCTGAGGATACCCTGGGCTCAGCTCATCCCTAGTTTATTGAGCATCTTTAAACAAATCTCTCTGCGACAGACAGACAGACAGACAGACAGACAAGGCCTTCCGGGGGCATCTGAGTCTGACATTCCCAAAGGATCCCTGATGCTCAGACAGAAGGCCTGGCAGAGGCAGCCTCCTCAGTGAACAGCCTGCCCAGGAGGGGCTTGTCACAGATCCAGGGCCACCGATTCCCACAGTCTTCATGGGCTTGTGTGGTTATTATAAGTTTTTCAAAAGAAACCGAACAAGAAATTCACAGAAATACAAAGCACTAATAAGTATATGAAAAATGTTCAATCTGATCTTCACTGTTAATTGAACAAATATAAATGCCATTTTTCAGCCATCAGTATGTCAAAGATTACCAATGATAGCATCCTGATTCTAGAATGGTTACACTGAAATAGACACTCATGGGTTGTTGATGAAAGTAAAACTGGTTACATTGCTGGAAAACGACTTGATGGTATTGTTGGAGGAAACAGTAAAAAATGGGGTCAAAGAAAAAAAATTTTTAAACAGTTTTTCAGCTAATGATGTTATCGTGCATTGGGAAGGGACGCTTTTTATCTGACACCGGAAGTGGCTCAGACAGCTGGTGCCAGGGCTGTTTTGGCAGGAAGGTGCATCCTGGGACCACCCTGGATCTCACCCTCCAGCACAGGCTCAGCGAACTGGCCCCTTAGCAGAGACCAGCCTGCCAGCAAGAAGTCAGGGGTCCCCAGAGCCATGAGCAGCCTGGACTTCCAAGGCTTTCAAGCCTCAACTTCCCACGCTTGTCCAAATCCTACTGCCCTGTGTACCAAGCAGAATGGAGAATCTCTCCCCCATGACTGTCCCAGCCAGACCTTCGGTCCCGCATTTCACCTGCTCAGAAGGCCCCTTCCAAGAACATTCTACCTTGCCAGCTCTTACCAGCTCCCGTGTTCTGCCACCACCCCACACCAACGGCTGTGGACTTCCTGAACCCGGCAGCTTCAACCTTCTGTCCTACAGAGTCTACAGCAAGACCACTCAAGAACATGCCCTGAATTGCACATTTCAGGATGATTTTAGTCCAGCTCTGTAGATCTCAGCCCAGGGAAGCAGGCCCCCTGGAGGACCCGGCCCATTTTTAGCTGCTGGGTGAGTCATACATGGCTCCCCACTCACACCCGCCTTGGGAGAGCCCTTTGGGCATCTCTGCTCACCTTTCCCCTTCTTTGCAGGAAACCCCTCTGAGAGGGAGAGGCCGGCCGTGAGTTTTCCGGGAGAGCAGAACCAGAGCTGAGCCGTCGGCCCTCCTGAGGATCTGGGGGCCCTTCAGCAGGAAGTGCGCTGGCCAGGCGGTCAGAGAAGGGGAGCAACAATGAACAGTGGAAATAGCTTCCCCCCGACCCTGCATACAGGTGCTCTGCCACAGAGTGTACCCACCTCTGCCCCTTCACCCCATAAGTTGTCATATCTGCTTTGCCAAGGAGGAAGCTGTGGCCCAGAGAAGTTAGGGCTGCACAGCCGTGGGAGGCAATTTGGAGGCGCAAGGGCTCAGTTCGTCTCCTCCCCGCCACCCCAACCCTGTCTCTGCTCACCGTGCTCAGGACAGGCAGACCCTGTGACCGCAGGTCCTGAACACCTTGAGCAGATGATAGGCTGCAGGGCGTTCTGACTTTCCTCCCTGGAACTGTCTAGCGTGTTCAACATGTTTGGACAATAAACACACATTATTTATGGAGTCAGAAAAAAAAAGCTATTTTCATTGGGATAATAAAAAATAGTTTTTTTTCTTTTTTTCCCCAGTTTTTTTTCATTCTTTTTAAAATTCTTTTATTTTATAGAACTGTAGTCGATTTACAATGTTAGCAATTCTGTCATATATATATACATACACACACATATATGTATATATACATATATATTTCAGATTTTTTCCCATTACAACTCATTACAAGAAATTGAATATAGCTCTCTGTGCTATACAGTAGGTATTTGTTGTTTATCAATTTTACATATAGTAATGTGTATCTGTTAATCCCAAACTCCTAATCTACCCCTCCCTGCAACTTCCCTGCTGGTAACCATCACTTGTTTTCTATGTCCATGAGTCTATTTCTGGTTTGTAAATAAAATTTGTAGCTTTTTTTTAGATCCCACATATAAGTGACATTATATGATATTTTTCTTTCTCTGATTTACCTCATTTAATATGATAATCTCTAGGTCCATCCATGTTGCTATAAATGGCATTACTTCATTCTTTTTTATGGCTGAGCAATATTCCACCATATATATACACACCACAACTTCTTTATCTATTCACCTGATGATGGACATTTAGGTTGCTTCCATGCCTTAGCTGTTGTAAACAGTGCTGCTATGAACATTGGGGTGCATGTATCTTTTCAAATTAAAGTTTTCTCTGTGTATATGGCCAGGAGTGGGATTGCTGGACCATATGGTAAATCTATTTTTAGTTTTTTAAGGAACTTCCATGGGGACTGTACCAATTTACATTCCCACCAATAGTGTAGGGGGGTTCCTTTTAAAAAATAGAGTTTTAAATAGAGAAAAAAGCATTGTAAGATGAACTCTGCAGCCTCTCATCAAGGTTGCAGTTGTGTATTTTTTTTTTAATGGAGGTTCAGGGGATTGAACCCAGGACCTTGTGCATGCTAAACACATGCTCTACCACTGAGCTATACCCTCCCCCACCTTGTTTGTTGGTTTGGTTTATTTTTTTAAGTTTTTTTTCAGCTGTGTATTTGACATCAAGCTGCCTATAGCCTTTGGCTGAACCATGGGGGACAACAAGTTAATACATATATAAATAAAGCTTCAAAATGTATAATGTTCCAGGTCCGGGACGATATGGGCCCATGTGGCTTTTGAGCAGATTTGTTAGATTGATTCCAAAAACAGCCACAATTCTTCTCCCTGATCCATGCCCTGTACAGTGAGTTTGCCCCTCCTCCCATCAGGAGGTGGAGTCTGTCCCCTACTCCTTGAATCTGGCCTTGCTGTGGCCAATAGGATGAGGTGGAAGTGGTAAAGGGCGAGGGCTAGTTCTGGAGGTTCTGGGGCGGTATCTTCTCTCCCTCTTCTTTTCTCCTTCCCTCCCTCCTTCTCTCAACACTGCCACCATCATGAGAACAATCCCGGGCTAGCTAGCCTGCTGGTGAAGAGCCAGGGCTCACCTAGACAAGATCCCCCCATCCCCCGGAGTGGAGCTGCCCAGCCGAGCTGCAGCTGATCACAGATGCACACGGGCGTCCAGCAGAGTCCAGAAGCCCCTCCTACCTGCGCACAGCCAACATTCCCAGCTCACAGACTCAGAGCTAAATTAACCACTGCGCTTATCCCCTGCATTTTGTGACTATTTGTTATGCAGCTTTGTGTGACAATAGATCATCCCAACAACATGGAAGCACACTGTTCTATACCTGAGCCTGAACTTGGGTCCCAGAGGAGACAGAATGCCCTGACAGCACAGCTGCCATCAGGCCCCTCATCACCTTGACTTCATATCTGCTTCAATGTGGCTTTTTCACCTGCCAGTGGAATAGGGTGAGCTTGTTCTGGCAAAGCCAGGGACTTCTCATTTTTAATAATCAGAAAAA